CATCAAGTGGGCAGTAGTCACTGTGTGGGATGTAATGAATCATAGGACGAACCAAGAATAAATAAGGTTTAGATGAAAATAAATAAAAAGGTCAGTTGTAACTAAAAACTATGTTTTTAAAACCTAATTTTATACGTCTCAATTGCAATCCTGCGGTCGAGCGACCGCCTAATGCTCTTGCTATAGCTCTAGCCATCTGGCCGTGTCGGGTGGTGCTCTAGCTATAAAAATGTTTTATTGATTATAATGAATATGTTCATATTCTTTTATAATGAAGTTTTTTATTATTTATATTTAATCAAAAGTTTTGGTTAATTTCACTTTTCGAAATACATAAACAATACAGCTTTGTTTGTTTGTTTGTATTCGTCTTTCTTTTTAAATAATATTACATTAATTCAAAAAACACCATAATTAAAACCATTGATTTAATTTATAAATAATAAAGTACATAGCAATAATAAAGGACTACTACATTTTGAACAATATCAGTTGTTTTTTTTAGATTCGAAACAAGTGACATCTTAGGCACCACAACTTTACAATGTAACGTTTGGATTAAATAAAAATCATAGTAATAAAATACGACTGAAGCATAAGTGGTGGGGTCGTTGACCCGTGGTAGGTGACCGCGTCGGGTGGTGGGACTAGTTCAGCCCGTCTAGCTCACTCAGAATAGGTTTAAAACAAAGGTACTTGACCGGCAGTGACGTCACAATACTTTACAACGATAAAGTAATAGCATTGCACGAGCGTTGCCGACGCCTCGTACATTTTAAACTGTTTTCTCTTGTGTCTATTTTTTTTTTATTACTTTAAAACATATTTTTAAATTATGTTTCCTTTAATTTTCATTTAATTCATAAGCAGTCGGTATATATGTAAAATGTATTAAATAATGTTAATTAACGTGAGAAGACTCCTTCCTTCCTTCGATTAAAAACTATAATAAATATAATCTCAATATAACTTAAAGTTCAATAAAAAGACCGGAAACAGAGAAGTCAATAAATGGATTAAATATGAAAACCGGTCAAGAGCGGGTCGGCATCATATACAAAGGGTTCCGTAGAAAATATAAAATTTTAACAACCAAGTATTGCATGAATCTTTCGGTAGAGAAATCTTTCCTGTATTTTTTTCCCAAATTTTAAGTCCAGTTTCGGAGATCAGGGTAAGATAAATTATTTTCTAAATTTCTGAGCGTAAAAAGGGTTAAGTTATGTAGGTATGTAAAGGTATTTATTTTCAAAGGCATCACAGAATGCAGCCTTATGAAAAGCTGTTTTTTGGGTTCAAGGTTAAATGATGTATTTACTTTTACACAAATATGCAATTCCAAATTCGAGCCAAGGCGTTCATTTAAATAAAAATAAACCAAGGTTGACATAAAAAAGGCCCTTGGCCCTATAATTCTATAATAGTAGCACCTAAAAATGTAAGCGTAATTGGTTATAAATATCTGATATATAGGTATACCAAATACATAGATTTTCTATTAAATTACTTCTCGCCAAACATGAAAACTATTCGACGAGTTCAGCGACTTTTTAGTCGCTCTGGGAAAACATAATATTGACTGCGTTTGTCATAAGTATATCATGATAGGTAGTGGGACTTCTGAAAAAGTATAAAATTACGGTCTCTGGTTAAATTTCTGGCTTGCTCCTTCGTCAGTGGTGCACAACATTTATTTAAATATTTTAGACAACGTTTTTGTGTTTTTATTTTTAATTTACATTACTTCTGTAAAAAAATTAGTTCCCGTAATCAAACTAGATGTCACTACGCTACTTTCTTGATTTCTCCATGACAACCCTTCCGGTTTTCTTTTAAGTATAAAAGTAAATTAGTTTTTAAAACTCAATAAACAACTCATATCCTATTTGTACTTTTTCGTAAGTATTTGTATTGATATCTAAGTTTCGAACTTTACAAATTTCAGTTTTTTAATATGTTACTGAAAAGGAACGGAAATTACTATCTTTGGTCCTTTTGTTTCCTGCAAATATCAATTCTTACTAGAGTCAGTTAACTAGTGAGGTGCTTTTTAGTGCTTTCTTTTATTTAAAATACTTCCTCATTTTAAGTTTCCACGGGCTATACATAGGCCAAGCTACATTTTTTTTATGAAGGTGGTAGAATTTGTATAGTTTAGGGCATATACATAATTATGCAAACAATGGCAAATACACCAAATTAGTTTCGCCACAAAACTCGTTATTACATACACCAGCATAGGCAAGCAACTGTGTGTAGCGTATAGATCTGTCAAAATCAGAAAATTACTCCGACCTTGTACGTTAGAACAATGAAGACGCTCTCATGACATTTGATGGTGAAAAAAAAAAGAAAGTGGTGTGCTCTATGCTGACTCATAAGCTTTATGTAAAACGAAACATCGAATGAGAATCTACATTAATGCACAGATGAGTTTCCCCATTGTTGCCATTTTATTTGACAATGGAATTTTCCGTCAGCTGAATGAGCATTTAATTTAAATATTATAAATGTCGGAATCCACCACCAGCCCTTTTACGTCCCCACTGCAGGGGCTCAGGCCTTCCTTATGGATGGTTAAGGAGGATGGGCCATGACCCTCCACGCTGGCCCAAAGCGGATTGGGCCAGCGTGGAGGGTCATGCTATGTCGGAATACATAAAGTGTATAAGTAATTTTACCACAAATATTATTTTTAAGAGGAGCTCGATGACGTAAATCTTAGCACGTTCAGTCTGCGATGGGGAAGTTAAGCAACATACACAAGGTTGGCCATAGAATGGGTGACCAAAAATTTTACATCTCGAGCTCCTCCATGGCATGGTCCATTCTTGTGATTCGATTCGATTTCGTCCATAGGAAAAGCAGTTATTAATAGGCTTATAATTAAAATAAATTATTTTTACCGTACTTTCGAGACTTATTCGTTCCATAATAGTACAATTTGGTTTCTTGTCTATCATTGGATTATGGGGTTATAACATTCATAATTTATCTGAATTTACTATTTCATAATATGAGTCCTAAAAGTATTGCACTGGTTGAATGTTACAATATCACCTCATTAGTGTTTCCTACGCCTTCTAATCTTCAGTCTATTGACGTTCAAAGTGAGAAGATCATAACCATACATAATGTTATTTCCAACATATTCCGCCTCTAATCTTCAGTCCTATCTAAGTCTAATCTTCAGAGGCGTATTCTGTTTGAAATTCAGTCCACCCGGCCTATTCATTAGTTTGCCCTACATATCGACGGTTGAAAGGCTGAATGCTCCAAGCGATATTTTGGCAATATTTAAATGTTAGACATTTTTTTTGTTAAGCCCAAAAAATCTGTAAAATCTTCCTGTAAAATTCCTAAACAGACGTTTGGAGAGCCTTTAAAATATAAATATACAAATATAGCGTCAATTGTCAAAGATATTACGTACACAGTTACTACAGGTAAAAATGTGTATAACCGCCCTTTTTCAAAGACGGTTAATTATTATTAAGTTCAATGGAATAAATACTGGCGAAACTACAATCTTAGATTATACATTATATAATCTAAGACTACAATATAATATAAAATATCTGTAAGTAGAGTAAAGATATAAAGATTATTACTGTGAGTAGATTTTTTTTAAATTATATTAGTTACAAAAGCCCTGAGTTACTGAGATCTGACTAAAAAGCATACAATATATGCTAAATGTACATTTAATTAATTATATACTAATAATAATAATTTATTTGCTTTTAAATGGGGTGTACTGCACATTGAAATACCCCATTTAGCCATCAGCAACAGCATGCAAATATTGATGATAAAATTACAAAGTCATATAATAAATAAATATAATATATTATGTTAAATGATTTACCAAATGCTCTATGTTTTATTGCGAATACTTTGAGTGGCCATGGCTCAATTGTAGTTTGGTACAAATGTATTACTGAAGTGGTTTATATTGCGAATACTTTGAGTGGCCATGGCTCAATTGTAGTTTGGTACAAATGTATTACTGAAGTGGTTTATGGTTATATTCAAATTTCCCACGTTTTGACGACAATAGCATACTTATATTCACTCTTTTTATAAGTAATGCAATATTTAGCTACTTACTTTCTTTGACCGTAGTTTTAGGAAACGTAACGTGGGAATTCATATTTAAATTATAGAGATATTATAAAATTTCTGTAGCTAATTCAAAGTTTTTATCATGGTTACTCATTCGCACGTTCTATAACAAGTTTTTGTTAAAACAACGGACACAAAGAATATATTAGGGGCGTAATAAGGGCGGGTTAATACTTTTTAATTTGTCAAATGAGGTTAGCTCCCTGTGTAGGTTCATAATATGTTTTTTTTTTAAATACCTTTATTAATTATCATTATACATAGGGGATAGGTACCTACTAAAGGCAACTCAAACATTTAATGATTAACACACCAAAACTTGCCCATAAATTATTTTCTCTATTGATGAACTGAAACCTCTGTGAAACCTGAGCCTAGATTATGCCTTATTGTTAACATGATAACGGCATAAAGCATCTCGATGGCGTTTCCACTGTTTCGCCACTGTTTGTTTTACAAGATCATTATTAGTATATAGAACAAACAACGCTAGAACTACATTAACTTTTTTGTGTTTTTTTAATGTATGAGCCCTAGGCATCTTTGCCCGCGTTATTCTCGTATAAATTACTTATAGCCTATATGCATTTGGAATAACTTGCGTTTTATAAAAATACTTTTTCAGATAGTTTTCACTAATTACTCTATAACACGCAAATCTCGGAAATAAACGTTTTTAAGTAAATATAATTAGTCCACAGATTATTCTAAGAAATACGTAATGAAAATTGACGTTTGGAAAGATTGTTCATTAAAATGTAACTGATGAAAAAACTTTCCAAATGTCAATTTATGAAATCTCTAGCATTTTAAAACAAATAATAATTGGAAAATTCAATATCAAAATCGAATATATTTGTAACGATACTTTACAGCTATCGGTAGCTGAAGTAGAGTTACGCGCGGCAGCCGAGGAGCGGGACAAGCTGATGAATGACGCGAACTACAACAGCCTCCAGAACGACGAGGCGGTGGCGCGGGCCAGGCAGGAGCGCGACGAGGCTCTGGAGAGGAAGAAGGCCGCTGAGGTGAGTGCATCGTTATCCAACTTATGGATCATTTACACAACTCCACGGCCCGTTATAGGATAACGTGACTAAGGGCAGATCCAATGGGTCATGATCCCACACCTCCCCCTGGGTCCAGGACTTAAGGGAACTATACTTATTAAAATTGTTATACATACTTAATGTGTTTATATATTTTTTGTCCCAATATCAATTTTATTTAATCTAACTCAATATTAACTATTTTTTCAGGTGGCCCTGGCCAAGACTAGAGTAGAGTTGATGCAAGCTAACAGCCAGCTGTATGAAGCTGTCCGGCAGAAAGTGGACCTGGGCCAGCAGCTCGAGCAGTGGCAGGTTTGTATTTTCATTATGACATCCATATCCATCTAGTTCCAAAATCTCAAAATAGTTAGTTATATTTCCATATTTTTTTTTAAATTTAAGATTAAGGGAGAATATTACAATCATTTTTTATGATATGAAGTTTATCTTCAAAACTGTGCAGGTATATTGAAAAAATTGTTTCAAATACGAGACGATAAATGTTATCTACGACTTTCGGTAAACCGTTCGATGGTTCATTCTCAACTTCCAAGAATCTATAATTCTTTCTTAAACTCGTAAAATTTGTCAACTGTGTCGGTTCGAATACAATGTGAGGAACAAAGCTGAATCTAGTTTTTATCATTTTATCACGAAAATGAAGACAAAAACAACAATAATAATAACGAATATGAACCATAAGCCCATAACGATAGGTAGTTTAACGTTTGTGTATTTGTGTGGGCACACATGCGCGCGTGTGCGTCTATGTGTATATATCGTTGACTTCGAGCAAATAAACATGACTTTCGGTTATATGTCGCAGTGTTTCACGTTTAGCTATATAACTATGGCAACTACATAAAAAAGGTTTTGTTAATTGATAAAATTAAAAAAGAATGGTGTTATAAAAAAAAAATATTTATTCATATTTGCGTATACGCCACTCTGATTTGAAGTCCTTCATGTTTTGAAATAGGTTTTTGTGTTATTGCACAATATTGATTGACCATGATTTATTCCAGATGGACATGCAGGAGCTGATAGACGAGCAGATGAAGCACAAGCTGACGTCGGAGAAGCGGCGCAAGCTGCCGGCGCCGGCGCCGCCGTCGCGCGCGTCGCGTCTGCTCGGATTTTTTCAGCGGTGATCTGCTGCCTCTATGAAGCCATAGACAAAACTACCCTCATAGTAGCCTTCTTAGTGTTCCAACGTGAGGACCCCCTCGCGGTCGGTTTATTTTTAATTTTGTACAAAAAGAGTTTGAATATCGTCGACGTGGCGGTGTTAGTCTACAGTACGGATGCGGCCCTGACGATTATAGGGTATGTGCTTTTAATATTTTTTAAACGTTACGATTCGTTCGCTGCGGTCGTTTTAGCCGTCTTTCTAATTAGAATGGTTTTAATTAAATTCTGTTACACATTAAACTTTGTATTGAACTTTTTTTAAAGTAGTTTTCTGTCGTTTTCTATAGGTTGCATTGTTTGAGACTTTAAAAAACGCTTTTTGCAACATTTCGATATTTTTCTCTTCAAAACATTCCAAGAGTACAATTAGATCTTGTCAGCCTGCAACGAGAACGCAGCTATGAATAAACTATGCATTGGCACAAAATATGGGCAAAATGTGTTCTTCAGTATATGAGACAAGATTATACTTTGTAATCATATTTATAATGAGTTTACTGATATAAAATATTTGCATTGATTTGAATATATATTTTTAGAAACAGAGATTTTAACTAAATCTCATTGATACTACATTTTCCTTATTTTCTATCAATGCAGTGTTTATTATAATTATTCTAACATACAGAGCTGCTTAGTGTCCATCAAAAATTCTTGGTAAATGCCCATGAAATATTGCTCTTTCAATTCACTATGTAATTTTAAATGTGCAATTATTTGGGGTTAAAGAAGTCTTTTGAAGCAAATAACTTCAATAAATTTTTAATTACGAAATAAATACTGCAAGCAATCAATACAGCTTATGTAAATACACCTTATAATATATATATAGTTTGTATTCACTGTCAGTGAAAATGGTGCACCTATTAGATTATAGTTATAACAATAGAACATTTAATAAGCCATATTTTTTAATTTTATTTACTACGAGGGAATATGTTATGGTCTCCATTAATTACTGTATGTATATAGCATACCAAAAAACTTTTTAATCATGAGAATTGTGTAGTATTCTTTGGTAAATTCAAATTTTGCAATAATATATCGACGTTTTGTATTGTGCCTTATGAAATGCATGGCCTTGGAAGTGCCTTCTTTGTCAATTATAATTTTTATTGCATCGAAATCAGATAATCATTTCGATAAACTTGAACGGACGAATGACATTCGAATTACATACACTTTACGATGTACTTATACTAGACATAAATTATGCGTACTTAATAATTCATTAACTATATTAAAATTGTCAAATTTTAATAACATTATATTATTTGTCGAAGAAATCCGTGCTATAGACCAATTATTTTATTCGTACGTCCCATTAACTTACAGAACATACTCAAATATTGAATTAATATTATAATTATGTATATAACATTAATAAAAAACTAAACTCAAATACAATTTTATCAATATTCATTAAAACTTCTGAATAAATATATATATTATTTTCAGATTTTATCACAGCAGCACTGGTATATTCTAATAATTTCGAAAACAATCCATTTTGAACTTAAGAAATAGCTAAATAATGATGTTCGCTACGTTGTTAATTTTTTGGTTGTCGAGAGATGGCGCTAGTTTTATATATTCACCGGTATTCCTCTTGTTTCATTTCATTACAAAAAAAGCAGCTTTATATCAATCAGGGTTCGCTGATAAATATCAGCGGATATATATCATAGTATTGAATCTCAGCTAGAAAATTAACCAACCCGATGTGACGCTACCAACATTGGCCAATCTGACTTTCTAGCAATTTCGGGTTTTCCCCCAATCGTTACTGGGAATTCTCACACGCGTGCTTCTTTTTAATTATTTTATAATAGATAAACAAACATTAAATAAATCAAATACAATCTGTATTTTACACTTTTGATTTAAAATATTAAATGAAGCCACTAGCAGCATAAAAATAGCAGTTTTTCATATGCATGATATATATCGGATATTTTGATATTTATTTTAAATATTGGATTTTTGCGAACCCTGAACCTTCATTCAAGTGTAAAAAAACCTCTAATGTCACGAACAGTCGGTAAAAGAAATGTAATGAAAATTAAGTACCTGTCACAATTGCTCTATAATTATAATGAAATTTTCATATACAATCTAATATTGCTCCTTCGTTGAGTGTGGTATATGTGCCTTATTTGAATTTAATTAATTATTCTTACTATGTTTGACTTCGAAGAAATATAATTTTTATTGGCATGGTACTTAAAAAGTAATTTCTCAGTGTTTTCGAGCATTGAAACAAAGTGTATTGGCATTCCCAAACGACGATAAAATAGGCGTCGATTGGCGAATGGATGTGTGTCAAACTGAATGAAGTGATGTTTAAATAAAATAAAAAAACTGCTCACAATTTCATTTCTCAATCAGTCGCTTATATTTGTGACCGAGTGTATTTCTTAGCGTTTTATCATCTTACAATAAATAAAAAAAACTATTTTACCTCTTTTATAGAATTTAAATAGCACATGCATGTATTATTATATTTTTGTATCAAATACTACAATTTATGATAAGAATAAATAAAATTCATTAGAAGGAAAAACATTATTAATTTATTATTAAGACTGAACTAATTATGGAGATTTAAAAAGTGTTATTTCTGCAGATTTCTTTTTCTGATAATTTTCTTCATTTGTCAGTTTGTTTGTATTAATTTTTATTTGTATTTAAGTATCTTCAGTACGTTGTTTCTAAAACTGGAACAGAACATTTTTTTACATTAAATATTAATGCAGACAAAATAATGCAGGAATATGTAATAATGTTTGGATGATACACATTAATGTAACATAAATATTTTTTTAATTATATTATTATTATCTAAGCACAAAATGTTTACTTTTCTTAGTCATTCCATTTTATTTTATTTCTGGGGTCTGATTATATAATAAAAAAATCTCCCATGAAGTCGAAAAAGTACATAATAAATTGGCTCATTTAATAACTCTGATGAATCAAGTTAACTCTGTCTAAAGAAAATAAAAATTTTTACTTGCAATGTAAGTACCACAAAACAAATTTAAGTTTATCTATAAACAATCTCAGTCGGTTGGTTTTGTGTTCACAAATTTTATAATAAGACAAATGAACGAATACGTATTTACTATAATAAATATTATAATAATAAATTAAAGTGCAATATAATTTATTTAAACTAATGTATATGAAATATTTTTTAACTATTTTAAATTATACTTTTGTATATTATGACCCCAGAATTAAATATAATGTTTTATATTTTAACATCATCACGTACTCATCGTAATTATTGTGCGGATGTACTTAATAAGCACTTTTTAAGAACTTATCGTAGTTCCATTTTAATAAGTAACCATGGTAACTAGATTGGAATCACTTTTTTATACATATAAAATTCTTGACATCTACGCTGCGTTACAATAATGGCAGGAAAGCGGCCTGCCACTGTAGTGAAATGGCAGATTTTGTAATAAACGCATACTGTAGAATACTTTCTTAATAACAAATATTGACTTATTATATGGAATTGAGAATTTAATCGTATATTCCTTATTTTTAAATATTTTACTAAATTAAAATAATAAAAAATATATAATACGTAAGAGGTCAAAGAATTAAAAGTCTGTCATTTGACTAGAGTGGTGGAATACTGGATGATATCTTCTGTATATAAATACGTACATACGCGTCATAATGACGTTTTCAAATTATAGAGTTTCATCATTGGTGGCGACTGTGCTTAATATTTCCGCCATTCAAAGTTATTGTGTTATTTATTATTATGGCCGTACTGTACTTTAATTAAATTTAATGTGTAAGATCTATCATGACTAGCTAATTACATTAATTAATAATTTGTTTGTGAAACAATAAATAAAATATGAATTTTATATCCTCTTTTTTTATTATTCTAATTTGTATTAAATATACAACTTGCGTACCTGCGTAGTCAATTGGTTCACACGCTGTATTCAATGTGCCACTATGTCTGGGGTCGCAGGTTCGTATCCTAGTCGGGGTTTGTGTATTTCGTTGTTTCGGATACAACATAATACTGCTTCATCCTCGGATCAAATAGAAAGCTTACTACGAGTATTTGGTCTTACCCACTCATCTTTGAATCTGATAATGATCAATGTATAGGGTGCTGTTTCTTATTTATTTATTTACTCATGTTTTCGAAAAGACAGTATAGTTAAAAAGCATTCGTATTGAATTATAAGATTACTAAACAATTCCCCCATAGTTGATGTTATGCATAATCATAATTATTCATTTCCTGAATCTTAATTCTGTTTGATTTCCGATTTAATCGCTGTACTTACCATAGACTGGCATGGAACGGATCTCAAAAAGAATTAAATATGAATTTCTTGTTTATGAAATTACGAAAAAAGGATCAAAATCAATTCCTAATTCTTAAAAAGTAAAAACTCTGTCAATGTCTTGTTTGTGAAAGAAGTTTATCATATTCTGTAATTTTTACATAACAATTTCATATAGTATTTATTAGTAAATTTCGTTTGCTTACAACAAAATGCCTGCTACAGTTGAGCAAAAAACTATTGATCCCGAAGCGGAGCTCAGTAATGTACAAAGAACGGTAAGGTCATTAATTTAAATTTAAATGGACTCTTGAGTCTATCAGTTCAGCAGCGCCATTTTTTAATTATGATATGAATTTTTGGTTCATTAAGTCCGTCAATTTAATAGTCGTTGGCGAATTGAGTTAAAATTGCTGAATCAAGGAATTCACTAGACAGGCATGCCCTCGGGTAAGTCTGCAGACGTGCCTGCCAGACTTCATTACTATGACAGCGACGGCCCTTCACTAGCCAGACATGCCCGCCCTATAGAAACGAGGTCTGACAGGCAAGTCTGCAGACTTGCCCGCGGGGATGCCCGTCTTGTGATTTCTACGCTTAAGATACAACAGTTTTGGAAATTGATGTATCATTAAGCAGCGCGCCGTATAGAATTCTGTATTTCTAGAAAATTTCAAAATGTTGTCTAACCATCATTCTTTACATTGGATACATCATTATAAGTGGGTAAAGTAAATATTTTCAATGATAATAAGTGGTTAAATATGACGTTCAGTAGCGCCACAGAGACTCAAATTTCGAAATTACGTTTAGTAGAGGGTGTAGCTGTTAAAATGACTAACACAAAACTTAAGTTAAATTACATTTTATTCGTAAAGTAAGTATGATATAAGGTACAGTTGAGTATGATAGAAGATTCAAATAAGTATTACTCACGACTGTATGCTTTAACATGAGTTCTTTTAATGCAAAACTACAATATTTTCCAACTTCATGCATCTAGTCTACCTGGTAGATAGGTACTGTGCACCAAAGGAGCGTAAAAAGATAGCAACTTATATAAAAAGGTAACTAATAAATACATACAACCCATGAGAAATATTTAAAAAATGGTAAATAAATACAGGTAATCGTATTTAACGAATAAAAGAATAGTTGTTAGCAATTCTATATCAATAACTATTTTAATACCCACCAGTTCCAAAAGCTCGCGCCGATGTGCAGTGTGGAGAAGCGTGCTGCTGGCATTCCACAGCTGGCCCCACAAGAGAAACAGCTGGACATACTGGCCCATGAACTCAAAGAGACCCTACTCTGCATCACTGTAAGCTTATTGGTTTACAAATCCTTTTAATATAGTTTTCTAAAAAAGAATCGTCCGCTCTAAATGCCTAACTTGGGGATAATCTAACTATAAACTTAAAACTCTGCTGCATTTCAACTCAAAAATCAAATCACCAAATATATATTATTATCTAAAATATAAAACTTTACAAGTATTGCTACAAAATGAATCTTATGTTTATTAATCTTTCCTAGTAATTAGACTTTTTTTGTTACCACAGCTCGCTACAAAAGGCCAGCATGCTCTACGCGACAATATGGTGAAGAGTGGCACAAAACACTCCATCGTGGAGTACGAGCACCTAGAATCTGTGTTACGAGATGAGAAGGCCCAACAGGCAGAGCTGGACTGTCTTAACTACTTGGCTCAGAAACAGCTGGTTGAATTACTGAAACGAGTACCTACAGAAGCTGATGTAAGATGATATTTTAAAATATTTTTTTTTAATGCTTTTGTTTTCATAAGCAGGTTGTCAGAACAGATAGCAAGGTTCTATTTCCCCGACGAGCCCTACGCGGCCTAATAACCCTCCTATTGCACGTCAGGTACTGTAATAGGGTTCATTTTTCCTTGATGAACAAAAAAGGTTAAGTTTTACTGGATTATTTTAAACTAACTATGTGTACAGAGGTTGACAATTAGAAGTATAATGCATATTTAATGATACCACTGCGATGTACTTAATGACCTTTGCTTTAATGTAACTAGATTTTACCTCAACTTCTACTTATTACTCTTATAGGATAAATTACTAGTATGTACGATAGGAGCTGGCGATGATAGAGAACGCAAACAACCGTCTGAAGCGTATGGAGAACAGACTAGACTTGGCTACCAAACGTTTCTGTGTAGTCAACGCGGACAACAAAAGGGTCAGAGAAGAAATACACAGACTCCTAGTTGAGAGGTTAATAAACTAACCTAAAATTTTTAAAGTTATAGTTTTCACTTGATGACCGGATGACTTGATATTTTGCCTTTGTGTATTATATATATTATATTTTCTTGTTATTTATTACTCTTAGTTCGTTAATCTGCATACCTTTTAAAATTTTGATTTAGTAATCCTCCATATCCATAATTAATTTATTGTGTGCTGACGTAGAAATGACTTCAACATCCAATGGAATCGCACCATCGGCAAGCTGGTGAAGGGTAAAGAGTATCTTATGGACATATTCGAGATCGCTGCCGTAGCGTTTGGTAACAGAGACGAATGCTGTAGAAAACTAGATGCCCTAAAGTGGAAAGGACTTTTCCAACTGAACAGAGATATATCGGTTAGTGAAAATAAATGTTCTTTCTTCTTAGGATTGATTAGATGATTATTCTCATCATCAAGAACTACGGTCTGTGAAAGTTTTTTGACTTCTGCAATGGCAAACTCAACACTTGTACCATCATATCGAGCTAAGTAGACATCGACGACAACGTTCATAACTCTAAGGTCTTGTAAAATGAGTAAATTTGATTTTACTACTTAGGACAAACAGGTAATTTGATTTTTAGGAAATGCAATCATATGAAGGTGAGCTGAACCACTTGGCAAAATTAGAAGAATTCCTCCGTGTGAAAGGTTCGCGGAGGATCTGCGAGGCGGACGAAAAGGAAGAAATTAAGCGACAAGAAGAGATACAGCGATGCGAGCAGGAAATAGCGAGACATGACACTTTGCTTGAATCTATATTTGTAAGTTATTTAAGCACTATTACTTCTGTATTATCAATCTCATATTAAAAGAGACAACCAAGAGACAGAGAACAGATGTAACTATGATACATAATCACGCACAATTTACACCAAACTAGAAAATAAATGAAGATAAGATTATATTCTGAATGTCTTAACAGGATTACGCCAGAACTGACAGAGTAGCGACTATTATTAACCATTTCAAGATAGTTGAGATCGAAAACTTCTCTACGTTTGTTCTGCTCTGCGAAGTACTGCAGGAGTCCATCATCGTGAGGAGAGAGCTCGAAATACTGCGTCAGAGGATTTGTAAGATATAATCTTACATTCGAGATGTCTTATTTCATTATGGTCTTCAGCATAAATTTCTTTTATAACTGCTTTACTACGTTAAAAAACACTACTTAGATAATAATTTATTTTATTGATTGTTATACAACTAAACTTATTCAGAAAATGAAACTATCGTGCCACTTTTCCCAATTATTTAGACGAGATGTTTAAAATGCTTATTAGCTGTAGAACATTTGAGATTCATTAATGTAAATCTAACGTACCCTCATACAGCGACAACGAAATTAATCTTTAGAAAACTTCTTACCTCATTACAAATGTTTTGTATCTAAGTAAGTAGGTTCACCTCTTTTCAGTTGTTAATTGCTACAGAATGTGAGCTATGCTTTTCGTGTGCATAATCTATACAGCTAGACATGACGCAAGAGTATCAGTTGTTTCTGTTTCTCAGTCGATCAAAGGGACATAAACGAAGCACGCGATGAAACCCAGGACAAGAAGATGGCGGCTATGTCATTGGAATTAGAGCAAAGACGCGCGCGCACACAACATATGCAGGACCTGAACACTGCCGCAGATGCCACCATCGTTAAAGTGCTGAAGGGCATCGATGACTTAGTCAGGTTTGTTATGGTTTCGATGATTTTATAATATAAAAAAAAAATAAAACACTAACTTTATTAAGTATAGTTACTCTTTCTTTTGCGTTTAAAACGCCATTTATTTTATATCGGAATGTATTATCAACAATTATAAATATATGAACATAGGCACTAAAACCTCAGAGACAAATAACGCAATATAACCATACTCCGTAAAGATATTATGACGAGCAATGTTTAATATCAATTCATATCGTAATATGATTTCTAGAACCAGTATGCTTAAAATCCCACCGTAAAGCCATGAAACTATCATTAATTCATCGTTATTTTATACAGATTGGCAAGATGTGACTTTTCCCCACTCCTGTCGCTGCTCGGAAACCACAAAGAAGTAACCAAATGGAACGTTTCCAAATTCCTTAGAATACTGGAAACTGAAGTCAAAACTCTCATCGAAGTAGCATATGGTGCTGTTAAGGTATAAATGTTATATAAATTAAATCTTCGCTAGCTTATATTCGGGTACTAGAACCATTCCGCTAAAATTCACTCGATACATTTGTCACAGTGATCATATAAATAACTAAAGAATACAATTACCAATGATTTCACAACTACTTAAGAATTCTAGAGGATGCTACGTAGAGGCGAATATATGAAGAGTCTGAAATGCTAAACTCTGTTCAATAACACTTGGCTATTTGGTCGAATTTTATTGCCATTCAATTTCAGTAAAATAACCAATTCCCGTTTCGTCCCACAGCCACCAGCGCCGACTCCTAAAGCGCGTAAAGGTCCAGCTGGTCCCGCTGCACCCAAACTTGTAGCAGACCCTTATGTGGAGCCCCTACATCCCAATAGGATTGAGAAACTGGTGCCCTACCAGCCTTGCGCATAGTAAGACATTTTATAACACTGCACACTGCAATTAAGTCGGTAGTACTTTTAACAATCAAGAGTAATAATCCACTATAAGGGTTGTTAATTCTCCTGAATGTCATCATCAGTTACTTCCTGGCAATAAACTTAGCAATTTAAGTCGCGTAGCGAAAATGCTGTTTTTAAAAGATACACGAATATCCTAAAAATGGGTCCATGTACCCTTAACAAAAACTACGAAGCGAATTCATATTAAGGACATAGTCAAATAATATTATTTGTACTAATAGTAAATGGTACTTGTTTTTATATATTTCTTTACTCTCACAGTTGCGTTGAAGATTATATAATGAATCTGGTCTTCGAGACACCGGCTGTGCCAGCTGACAAGGAATATGTCGAGAGCATATTCCGTCTAGAAGACGTCAACACCAAATTTGGCATATATACACTCACTATACCAGCGTAAGTTGACAGCTTGTAGTACGCGCGCGTACACTCAAGTGTGGTAATACGTCGTTACTACCATGCTCAAAAAAATATAAAGATACTGGTGCTGTCGTCAAAAAGACGGATTTACATTACAAACATTTTTTTGGCTGGTTCTTAAGCGCTCGAGTTTAAAAAGAATGGGCCCCCTAAAAACCAACAAGCAATTTTTTTACAGATAAGTAAGAAATTACGGTAAAATATTGTTTGTTTTTTTAACTGTTGAACTCAAATATCAATCACACTATTATCAGAAATATTGAAATTACCGGCTATCTTCAATAGAATTGTAAGTGTAAAATAGGTGACACAATTTATTCAATATGATTCTATGATAAATTTTAGTGAACAAATTGTATTTTTGTTATCTTTAGATACGTTAATATAATTTTTGTTTATTACAGAAAACGCCATCCGTACAGAGGACCGAAAAAAGACTAACTTACAAGAATACCTATACTTATTGGAATGAAATATATTCTAGAGAAATGAATTTTGCTTGCCTTATTTCTTATTTAATGATTACCTTTCCATTTCATAGTTCATAATAAGATCAGACAAATAATTTATTTAAATTAATTAATGATCGACTAACTGTATAGTCCATGACTTTATTTACACAACCCCGAAACAAAGTGCTTTGGTAGCTTAGAGGTGATACAATTATTAAAATAATGCAGTAATATCACTGCATTACATTAATAACCAAGCCTGTACACTAAATCGAGATCTTATTCCATTTTGATAAAAATCACGGATTTCCACAAAAAAAATGTATTTAGCTTCCATTTATACCCTTATAGAAATTATGAATTCAATAAGGCTAAAGAATTTATAGCAAATAAAAGAGAGTGGCGCTGCTGGACTGATGAAAAATAAAGGTAAACCATAGATTTAACTATATTAATCTCAATGAGGTAAACCAAAGAGTAAAATATATAAGGTAAACACCATCAAAGGATCAAATGGTATACACGTTCTGGCTCGTCGATGTTGAATTGTTGAGTAATATCAAAATAGAGTAGGTATTAAAATAAAACGAAATAGCGCTATAATAACAACGAACGCATTCATAGTAAATTTTTCGAACGAAATCAAGTGAATAATCAACATAAGCAATCGTTAAAAAATGTAAATTCAAGGAATGAGGAAGAATTTTAAAAAAAATATAGCACTAAAAAAATCTTCACTAGACGGCGACTCTAGCAAAAGTTAATGTTTGCAGAAAACAAATGAACCAAATATAGTCATTTGCAATGCTTTTAACTTGCATATTAAAAAACTGAAATTTGCAAAGTTCGAAAATTGGATATCAACACAAATACGAAAAGTATAAATAGAATGTAGGTTGTTTATTGAGTTTCAAAAAGTAATTTACTTTTATATATGAAAGAAAACCGGAAGGGTTGTCATGGAGAAATCAAGAACGTACTATAGCGACATCTAGTTTCATTTCGGGAACTAATGTTTTTTTTTAAATAGTTGTTAGTAATTTTGAAAGATTATATGGTAACACAATCATGATTTTCTTACATGGCAATTTTGTTATTATCTTTTGTGTTGCCCATAATAAAAGTACCCTAGATTTGTGGTATTATTGATTGACTTACATTTCAGAAAATGTTAATACTCGTAAAAAAGAAGTGGATATATTTTGATTAATAATTCGATTAATTTTCACTTAAAAATTAAAAAAAAATTATATAAGCTTAATTTGGTATAAAATGTTTAAGAAATTTGGGTAACTATATTTGGAACAATAATAATTGGTTCTTAATATAAATCTGATCTGTAATTAATACTGTAACATATTTGTGGGTCTCAAAGTAGTATTTTTTATAAGGTATTAACGTAAAGTCGTTAACATCAACAGAATTGGGATGTTGCCAAAAAGTTAAAATACATGTTTTTAGAAAAGATTAAATATTTTAACTTATGAATATTAAACAAAATAAAATTTTATTTAACGAAAGTATTACACTGAAATTTTTAATAAAAGAGGGAAACTATACTACAGATTTATTTTTATTTGTTACATAATATGTAACAACTTTAAAAATTAACCAAATTTCAAATATTGTCCAGAGACCCATAGTTTTTTCACTCTGGCGTTTCTTTCACTTTTTAGCCTTCATTTTCGAGCTGGAAATTTTTTGCTAACTTGTAGCAGATGCACAATCACAGTACCGTACCGTAATCTTATACTGTTGCTATAACTTCTTTAATATTTAATAGGTATATATGAAGCACTACGTCCGTGTTTAACTAGATCTGGGCGGCCAGTCCGTGTACTGTCACGTTATGTTTAGTATATAATTCACCTTTTTTCTAAGCTTTTATTATGAAGTCTATTGTTTTTGGTTCTGTCTTTTAGCCGCCATGTAAGAATTGAAATATATTTTACAAGCTTGCGTAAAGATTACATTTTAGTTATTTTAATTGTATTTCAGTTTTATTAAACAATTTATTATTTATAATAGCGTGTTTTCTGTGCCAAGGGCCATTATCAGACTCGCGCTATATATATTTATTTATTTGTGAATTAAAAACGTAGTCACCTAGGCAACTGTAAATAATTGTTTTTTTCTTCTTAATATATATTTAATTCAAAGAGACGAAAATTGATTAAATAAGTATTATAATTACAAATGTGTTTATGCAGCTTAAATATAAAATATTCCTCAACAAACATTTGAAACACTGACAAAGTGGTATTTCTTAATTAAGTGTTGGTCACACTGATGATGTGTTTCTCTGGTTGAGTGTGTGAGTGAGTGATGTCTCCGCCATTGAAATTCATTTTAGCCGAGTATTGAAATAGGTTGTACCTTTAAATAATCGGCAAAAATCTTCATCATCTTTCTTCTTTTGCTTATTCTATTCAGTCATATTCCGTGCACAAACATTATATCCGATGGCAGACAGAGACACAGATGAGTTAAACATCGATAACGTAATAAAAAAATTACTAAAAGGTAAATGTTGATATTCATTGAAGACAACGAAAAAGTTTGTGATATTAGCGAAATTCAGTGAAATAAGTGAAAATTGTGATAAGACATGTGTTCATTTAGTGAATTATTGTGTTTTATTTGTGTTGGTGTCATGTTTTCATTTGGCTGTTTTCAGTACGGGGCGAGAAGCCTGGTATGAATGTTCAGTTAACAGAAATAGAGATCAAAGGGCTATGCTTAAAATCGCGGGAAATTTTCTTGTCACAACCAATATTACTTGAACTTGAAGCACCACTAAAAATATGTGGTAAGTACACTCATAAATACGATCACTAATAAACTCAATTTACTCTGTGTTCAGCTACTTTCGAATGTAATGCTTAAGCTAATGCATCACTTGTCTTTTATCTCAATCAAAGCTTCTTTAATTTACGTTAAAGGTTTAAATTTTACATCAAAATTGAAAGAGAAATTGTGGGTGGAATTAGATTTGTTTTGACGTTGCCTTGCCTACTACTGGGAAAAGTGCCATTACAAAAAGAAGTTGTTGAAATCGTTAATTTCAAAAAGGTTTTTCAATGACGTCGCTCTTTTCGAATGTTATGTTTACAAATAAATAAAGATTAAATAATTTATATACCTAGTTACTGATCATGCACTTTTCGCTAATTTTTAGTCAGTCAAATATAAGTCTGTGTTTAATGATCAATTCTACTCTCCAAATTTAATTCATTAAATTAAATTATCTTATAGAATAAAAAAAAAACATCTCAGTTGACAAAAACTTAAATCTTGCCATGTACACACAGAATAAAAGTGATTTTACCTGTTTAGTTTCGACTTATTTGAACCATTTATAGTGCCAATTCTGATGTACCTCCCACTTTCTAAACTACAATATTCGATTTTAATTTAGGTTTCTTTAATGTCCTGTTGTCATATGTAATCTGTGAATGAAATGAAATGAAAATATCTTTATTCAAGTAAGCTTGTTACAAGCACTTTTGAATCATCCAACATTTTTTTTTTCATATGTATAAACACAGCTTTCAAAGTCTGTAGATCATAGTTTGTACATATAATTAATTGTTATAGAAACAAAGCGAAGCTCCTTAAAATAATCATCAACTTTATAATAGCCTTTACTCATAAGTATGTTCTTTCAATGAATTTCAAACTTATTTATGGGTAGGTCAATTACATTTTGGGGAACAATATTGAACATAGCAATTTTACCCAGAAATGATCATCTGGTTTTCTGAAATCTGAAGCTTGGAATGGCAAGTTTATTTTTATTTCTTGTGTTAAGATTATGAACACTACTTTTTTTTGTGAACAACATAAAACATTACAGTTCTGGTTTCTTGCATACATAAATTTTCATAGATGTATTGAGAGGCAAAAGTTAAAATATTTGTTCCTTTAAATATTTCTCTTGAGTGATTCCCTAGACCGTAAATTATATATAGCGTGGACAGCTCTCTTTTGTAGAATAAAAATATCTTGAATGCTAGCCGCAGAACTCCACATAGACTATACGTCAATACACTATGAAAATAACTAAAATAATACCAATCTTGCCATTTCAACATTTGTCAAGAGTCTAATTTTCTTAACAGCAAATGCTGCAGAACTCAGTCTACTTGACAAGTTATCAATATGAGGATCCCATTGCAGTCGGGAATCTAGTGTAATACCAAGGAACTTTGTAGATTCCACCAACTCAAATTATAATGATATTCAGTAATTATAAATGAATTTATTTAGGTTGTGCCAAAAGAAATGCTACCATTAACTCCTTTTATAACAAATTAAAGTAAGTAATGATAAAATTATGATCTTCTTTTAAGATGATTTCATATGATAATATTTTGATATTTTGTTATAATATTTAAGGCATTAAAAAATTTATCATGAAAACATACATTGATTCTATGAAACAAGGTATCAGTAAAATCATAAATGACTAATTGTGGCTTATTAATGCATCCAATTAGTTTTTATTTTGAAAAATGCAACCAAATATTTTTATTTCTTTACTTGAAATAGTTCCTATGGTTACCACTAAGCCACTAAATCACGGAGGTCTTCAGCTAAATAAACAATTATATTGGCCAATTGACATCATTGTACTTATTTTGAGATAAGAGCAGTTTCTTGAACATGTACTTCAGGACCATGGGCTGGAAAAACAGTACTAATGGGTATAAGTTGAGATAACACCCCCTAAGATCAGTCATTAGAACTACAAATGTCGCCAGAATTATATCTCCGCAATAGTCACCGCAACTGACAACTTGACTTGTTAACGAGGGCTGCAGACGCACAAATAAAAAAATATAAATTTATAATCTACATTTAAAACTTAAGTTATGGTCAGAGGAAAGGCTTATTTTTATTTTATTTTATTGTTTATTTTTATTAGTTACCTCAACTAATTCAACTGCAAAAAAGCAGCACTATCTTTCATATAAACAAGTTTTCATTTGAATAAAACTTAAGCTTAGGATCTTTCTTGTAATGCAAATAAGTCCCTTTTGGCTTTTTTTATTAGGGATTCTCTCACATGCTTGATTTCTATTTATATTTAATCAATGAATACAGATTATTCTGTTTTTTTTTTTTCTATATAGTAACAAGGAATGCATCAAAAAAGCTGCTATTTAAGCACCATCAACATGCTACAATTACATGTCAACATTGACAGAATTGAGCCCCTTGATGTGAACATACAGACAGATTTTAATATTGTTTTTCTTTTTAGGTGATATTCACGGACAGTACTATGACTTGTTAAGGCTATTTGAGTATGGTGGTTTCCCTCCAGAGTCTAATTACCTGTTTCTCGGAGACTATGTAGACCGTGGCAAACAGTCATTGGAAACGATATGCTTGCTGCTGGCATACAAAATAAAGTACCCAGAGAACTTCTTCCTTTTACGGGGCAACCATGAGTGCGCTAGCATAAATAGGATTTATGGGTAAGTCATATGCTACTACATGTTTTATTTTTTTTATGTGTATGTTAAATTGGGAGCTTGAATACAAGACTTTCATTTACATCTTAAACCAGCATCCAGTATGGAGGCTTTGGAAAACACTATGGCACTGTTACCAGCAGCATTTGCAGACATTAGCATCTGCATTCAATTCATTCAAAATGAGAGTTGACTTATGTGGAAATAATTTAAAATTACATAGAAGGAGTAATCAATAATTAAAGATTAGAGGCTAGAAAAGTTTAAATGTCAAGCGATCTAGGTAAAAAACAAACGATGTCGATAGTACCAGAGTACAAATAGTGCGACATGCCGTTACATAATAAAAGCCATATCCACATTAAATCATCCCTTTTGGGTCAGCGATCTGCGATCTGAAATCGTGGTTCGAATTTTAAAATGTCTTCGCACCTCGGATCATGCGAGATCGGCGTTAAAGTTGTTAACACCGATCGCTCTTGAGGCTCGCAATCGTAGCGCATTGGTCGTCGTTTGGTACGATACGGTTCATCACCTTGCTACGTCACTCGTTGTAGATTGTTAAGTACGCTTAAACCAAAATTACTAATTCTATATTGCTCATGAACAAAGACATAAAAACTGCGTAATTCTGCCGATTCAGTTACTCTCTATTATAGTCTAAATTAAACTAAATAAAAAAATTGAACTTTAATTTGGGTTTGTTTTAACGTTGTTCCATACACATATATGATTATACTCCCGTATATTCTAATATACCTAATAAGTTACTGCTATTATACTACTACTATCTTAGTTAAAATCACAATTGAAAAATCCTTTAGCAGGAGCAAAACTCAAATTTTGTCTAGTTTGTGCAACAGAATTGCTGCCATTGAACCGAAATTTGTTATATTTTCTCAATGAAAGATACCTCTAAACATTTTTTTTCTGACTACTTCTTGTAATTAGCCTGTTTTAGTGAAGAATTTTTTGATAAATATGTGGCTCATTTCATTATAGTGAAATATGATAAGATTTACGATGTAAAAATTTAAATCATATTAATTTGTATAAAAGTTGTCATTACTCTTTTTCTCGCAATTCGCTATATTTTGTCTTGATTATTTATTTTGTTAACTTACCCGTTAATTGCGTCTCGTATTTTCTGCCTACAACATGTCTAGTGAAATATATCTAGAGCAAGGCGCATTTTGACAAATTTAATACAAAAAAGCATTCTTTCTTTATCTGTCAGTGTCAGCTGATCTATTGTCTTTTAAAGAGATCTTTTGATTTCACAAAAAGTTGTATGGTCATGGGAAGTGCACACGTCCTGCGTTGTCTGCCCGTTGCGGTCTGACGAATATGAACAAAAGATGTCTGGTGCGCGTGTAGGGTGCGTGCAGTTTTGTATGTTACAATTATGTGTATTTATTTATCGATAAAGGGGAATACGCACACTTCGGTATCGCAGTTCGAGTACCATGACAAACTCGAGAAACGCTTCGTTTACACCGAATGTCACTTATCTCCGGTCGAGAGTGGGAATATCGTACGGGCGGAAAATGTCGTGCTACACGTGATATATAAAACGACGAAACTGTCTCCGACTGTATCGGTCAATCCTATGGTCCACCATCCGCTATGAGTGGCCATAACGCAGTTTATTGCATTTCCATACATTATGTCACACAAAAAACTTCATAACATTACATAAATGTGTCGTAGATACTAAGAACCAATACACACAGTCGACTAGTCCAAAGCATGGGTCATTTGATTTATTGGAAGACCATTGAGCGATCGAATTTACGGTAGCTATTCTTTTATAAGTATTTGCTCAAACAATGGATATGGAGAAATTGCTATAAAAGCATTGCTACTAATAAAAGCTGAAGCGTTTACATACAAAACCGTAAAACACATACTACTTGTACAAAATTGCAGTCGACAGTCTGTACAGGCTCTAATATTCGGTGTTCGATTTGAACAACGCCGAAGTCCGTACTTTTTAGGGTTAAATATCTATTACTTAGGGCTGATAGTGGGGAGGGTTATTACGTATATCAACAGTGGACTGTTGGTTAAGCATGCTATGCGGTAGATCGTGGCCGTTTTATGATCAGATCAGCGTTTCCGAAGATAACTAACAACAAATATTGTTAAAGACTTTACCTCATAATATTAGCATAAATTGTGTATGAAGGTTCCAACACAACCATGTTTGGTTTTGTCGAAAAACCGTAAGTATAAATGACAAATCCTTCCCGATCGGGTAAATCGTATCAAACGCTCATGAGTCAGTGACGTGAAGTGAATCACTGCAAGGTCGATGAGTAACGCCCAAGTTCGCGGTTGTTAGATCAATTACAACCTTTACTACTGCAGGTAAATAAACGACATGCTATTGTCCAGCGACTTTGCCCGCGTACATTATAGCCTATTCAACCCCAAACTCTTAAACAATTTCCTTTAGATGAAAGATATTTTTTTAATCGGTCCACTAGTTTTGGAGTCTTTTCAATGCAAACAAACAATCAAAATCATCTTTATAATATCAACATTATAGTAAGGTATAGATAAGGCGACACCACAATTAAACAAATAATGAAAGTTAGTAGTTTACAACATTATATTTGTTTAAAACAGTACTCAAGCATTTTTCTCTAATCTGATAATTCGCTCATATTTTATGTGCGTGCGCAGATAACGTTATTAAAAATTAAATGAACATACATTATGTAAATAGCCTCTTGATGCAAAGATTACATATCAGGTCACGTTTGCAGTGTTGAAGTTAAGATTTTGCTGTCACCCATTGCTTCAAATAGTGTCTCGTCTATTTGCTTTTATCCATCGAATCTTCCATCGAGCCGAGTTCTATTAATTACCCTTGACTATACAGTGATTCATATAATTATCAATATTAAATATAATAATATATTATATACCTAATAGGTAACTATGCAATAATTGCATAACATGTCACATTTTATCCCAATGCCTGATACACTCTGATATTTTATCATGTAGGAGTAATTAAGTCATTCTTTATAAGTGTAGAGCATGATCAAGAAACCCAAACATGTTTTTGTATTAATCATTGTCGGACTTAATCTAAATGAGTGAAGTATTGTTTGTTTTAAGTCAGCTGTTTGTTTATTTTGGCCTTTTATACAATTCGGTATATTAAATTGATTAAAAAAAAAACAATTTGCTCGTTAGACCCCGAAGATTTAAGTCATGGTACCTGTAGATTATCGTTGAATACCATAAGCCCATAGTCTTGTGATTAAGCGAATACTTGCTGTTCTGTATATGTATGTATAAGGTTCAAATAACCCCAAATTAATTGTAAAACAAATGAACGAAATTCGCATAGATAGATAATGCAGCTTGTCGCCTCGTGGGTACAACAAAATATTTTCACCATTTCGAAAACGGGACGTCTGGTCACGTTGTTAACGATTTCATATGCACCCTGGACCAACGGCCTAACGCGCCTTCCGGACCACAGAGGAGCCCGCGTTAGTAAATTTTGGTCATTCATCCTATGACCAGGCCTTGCTGAATTTCGCTTAGCCTCGCAAACGAAACTTACACACTGCCCCTTTGAGCTCTTAACGCCTGTGTGTGTTTGTGTGAAAACCAGTCTGTTAAAGCGTTAAACACAAACTCAAAAACAATTGTCACTTATTCACTGAGTAATGAGGAAGACCAATTTTGTTTACAAACAATTAAGTTATTATATTTCATCAATTTTGCATTCACAATGCTATTCTGAATAATATTCTTAATGGAAAATCTCTGAGTGCCTCCCTGGCATGGATTATTAAGCATTTTTAATTAAGAAATAATTAAGTTTTTGTGTTATTGTTGTGTTTGTATTAGTAGGACATCAACGACGATTGTTGATGATGACAGAAAAATTATATCGATGGAAAATTTACATACTTCTATATATTGTAGAAAAAAAACACGGTCGAAGCCAGGGTGGGTCGCTAGTCTAATACTTAAAATAAATCGTGGAAGATTTCCAGATTCGTGATAATATCATACACACTTTCGGCATAACTAAGTTCATTATCGATTCCGTTGTTAAATCGATTGGAAATGTACATATTATTCGAGTAAATATGTTAATGCTGTTTATTCTCACATTTCGCAGTTTGTTTGTTCAGTGATTCTCATATAAATTTATGACATAGTATTAAAAAATAAAATTTCCATTTAAATTTGGCAGTATTTCTAATTTTACTGGACAATTTGATTTTTTATTTAATCAATGAAAAATAGTGTTTATTAGTTTATCAGTAAGTACTAATGACACGGCATAATAATAAATAAAGGAAAATTATCCAATTGTTATTTCTAATGCAATGGAAAGTGACTTCATCATGGTCTCAATAAAGTCATTTTCCAATAGGACTGCTGTATGAAATATTATTGACAGAAAAAGTAGCTCTGCTGAGTCCCGGCGTATATTTGCGTACGGATGACATAGCTTTCGACTTTCACAAGTGCTTATTACAACCCAAACTGAATAAATAATTTTGAATTAAGAAAAATAATAGTTTTGCACTACGATAGGCCGCAAAGTCTTATTACCCAAAGTCAAAGAATATTATTTGCGCAGTATTTTATATCTACATTGGGGTGTTTAACAATGGTTCCAAACCAAATATTCCACCTTATTCTTGCAGGCATGCAAATTTTTTAATAAAAAAGTAACCAATTATAAAAATATATATATAAAACACATTGTGCATACATTTTATTTAATATATATTTTTTTACTTTTCTATATTTATGTCCGTTTTATTGTCAATAAATAGCATTTTTATTGCAGTTAATATATTTCATTAATGTATTCTTAATTCAATTGAAAATTCCTGTCTAAAAGACATTGATATAACAGTTTTTTGAACATGTTAATATATACATATACATACAGGCCCAGTATATACATAGAGGGCATTTTAAGACTTTTAGTTTTTTTAATAATGGCTTACATTATTCCCGATTAATAAGTAGTATGCTATTTTGTACGTGTTGAATGTCAAATTACAAGATTAATAAACATCTCGAAAGTGGATGGATTTAGCATAGGATATGTTTTGGTGTTTCATTAACACACTTGTCTACAGTATCTTCAAGCATCTGTAACACTTAATCTCATTTGAATTAAATCGTGGTCTGTTTAGTTTAGTTTCCATGTTCGAGTTAGAATAACGAAATTGAAATCAGGGTACCATTAGATTTTTTTTTATTGTACACAAATGTTTATTTAACCTTGTTTAAAATAACGACACTAAGATCAAAAAAGTATTCCTAAGAAAAAAATCGGATTATTTTGAACCTTGATTTATATTCAGAATTCTGTTAGAAAAATTATCTGTAAAACGACTCTTATGTATCGGACTCTTATAAATATTAAGATATGTAAGAAACACTGAAATAACAAACTGGATGTTATGTCGAAGCTTTTTTGTCAGTTCAGATTTGGCGTGTTATTCGATGCAGATTACCGTTAGTGTCGTTGAACTGTGAATCTACGACGCGATATATCAATGCCGAGATCTATTGGAACGACGAGACGCCAAAAGACATCATATAAGGGTCCTCGTTTAGTGTCATGTGTAATTTGGCATTAGTTAAAAGAGAGCTTACAACAATAATACTAAAATAAAAACTACCCACTACCGATACGTCGCTTGAGTAGATTACGTCTGTTTTACCCTCTTTGGAATATCGTACTAGGACTAAATGACTTATTTACATTGGTCGATGGAATCAGTATATGGAGTGCGAGCTTAGCGATATTGAAAAACGAATGAGACTTACGGCCGGTTTCTGAGTTGAGAAAGTACAAAATCTCAACTGATTATTCTTAATAAATTAAGTTTTTATACGTTTCATATGGCAAAAAGTATAAGATTTATCAAATTGCTATCAACTGATAATTAAAAACTTATAAATCAGCAATGAAAACATGTTTTAATGACATTTAAAGTGGCTTAAGCACGGTTTGAGACGTGCTCAACTTCAAATTCTCAATTCAGAAACCGGGCGTATGTCACAGAAATCGTAATCGCAATTCACCTTTCCTTTCGACCAATTTAAAAGCGTTATTACGTATCCTGTGTAACATTCTAACTCTCTAGTTGCCTCACAACATATTCTATCGATATAAGAGTCGTGATATGTCGTTTGTGTAGATTGTGTAGATTTTGTTATATTTACTCCTTTAGATATTTAATTCAGAACTAGATGGACCCGTGTCCTTCGTATCAACGTTTAAACCTACTCTGGACTACGACAAACATTTTGAAACCACAATCAGCCATATAGACCCTGCCGTTCTCGAATTTTAGTTAGTCAAACGAACAGCGATTGAATTTATATATAAATATTTCAATGCCGTTGGATAGGAAACTTCTTTTAAAATTTAGTTATAGTATATTTTTATCGCATACATACATTAGCAAACCATTTTTTCGACAAATTAAGGTTTAAAATCAGTTGAAGAAATTATTAGATTAGCGTAAGCGTAAGCTCATATTGCTCGGCCTGTACATAATTTCGTCTAGCTGATTGACGAAAAACATAAGGTTCATAGTTTCACATATATTTTGACATTTTCAACAACGCCCCGCCCGATTTAATAACAAGTTTCAAATTATTTTTTGAATAACGATAAAGTTCGCTACGTATGACATTAAACCCGCCTTTGCACATGTAGCTCGAAAAGTATCAAAAGAAAATGTACACCATATGATTGTAGGAAATAAATAAAAGGTTGTTTTACACAGACTTTACTTTGATTAATATATAATTGTATTAATAATTGTCGTTTTCGTTAACAGGTTTTACGATGAGTGCAAACGGAGGTATAACATCAAGTTATGGAAAACATTCACAGACTGCTTCAATTGCCTACCTGTAGCGGCGATAGGTGAGTCTATGTACTTAAAACCTATCATTCCTTCATCTCTCATTTAAAGAAAATAAATTTCCTTTACATCAATTAAATGTGAACCATTTGATTTGAATCCGGCTCGAAGGACCAAATATATATTTCATTCGAGTCTTTAAACCAACAAGTTATGAAATATAAATAATACTTATATGAGAATAAATTAAAGATGAAGAATACTAAATGGAAATAAAGAATCTTGAGATAATTTTCCATGATGCTAATAATCCAATGTTAGCGCTTTCTATAAGCTAGTTAAAGCTTTCGGATTGTTTTAGTCTTTAAATTATATGCGTAAGCGTAAAGCGTTCATATACAGTACGCAATGTCGCGATGACGTCATAGACTTTAAATATGATTTATAATGTGATATAATCAAAGCTATGGATATAGGCAACAAACGACAGTTCAAATTGTAAGTGTATTTTAACAAAAGACAATAGAATAAGCAATTTTACATAATGTTTTGAGTGCAAGTGTACTCATTACGTCAGCGGTATCTTTTAGATAATATTTCATTGTGAATTTTCATCGATCATGGTTGGAACAAACGCTACGTCACGATGTACAGCAGTTATCAGGTCATCCGTCAGATTGCGGACAGCCTTATGATGGAAAAACTCGTATGAGTACAACAGATTTTAAGTTTGTAGGTGGATTGCGTTCAGCATACCAATATGTGTGCGTTGTGTTTTCATTAAAATGGAATAACATGTACTCGGTTAATACATCTATCATTATTCATGATTGAAATGAGAAAATATGAAATCGCTCGAGCTTATGGCATCTCCGAAAAGGTCTCCCTTGTAAATTTAATATTTTGAAAAATATATCGCACGCATAAATTGAGGTGACTTACGGTCACTTACAAGGTTTAATGGCCGCCTTTAAACTCTAATGAATTTCAAATTTGTATGGGTAATGTCGCTTTAAATAAATGATAGTTTTAATGGACGTTTGCGCTGGCTGTTAATGTATCGTTTGTTGGTATATAGTATTCAAACGTTTTATCTAAATGTAACTGTCAATTATGACCGATCCTTTATTAACTTTACTCTTGCATTCGTTATTAGCCTATATTTCCTGCTTCTGTACTTAATAACTTTTTATTCGGTGCAAGATTTCATTAACTTATTATCTAATGCTATACGAGGGTCAAACTGAAAGTTCTTAGAACTGGCCACTTATAAACAATATAATAAAAAAATAATTCTAAAATTTGAAAATATAACTCTTTGCCAATATTACTGAGTATATATTTCATTCATTTGTCATTTGTTTTACGATTTGGCGGCAAATTGAAAATTGTCTGTGTCACGTCATCATGAATTTAACACGAGAAAATTTTCGTGCAATGATTTTTTATGACTTTCGATGTCATTTAAGTCAACAAGAAAGTTATGATAGACTACGATTGGCCTTTCACGATGAAGCCCCATCTCGTGCGACTGTTTACAACTGGTTTAATGAGTTTAAACGTGGTCGCACTAATCTCACTGATGATTTACGTGAGGGACGGCCTTCTACGGCGACGACTGAAGATAACATCTGTGTTGTGCGGCGTATGATAGAGACTGACAAAAGAGTGACCTATCAACAGATTCGGACAAGCTTAGGCATCGGTATGAGTCAAGTGCACAAAATCCTCCACGAACATTTAGCGGTCAGGAAGCTTTGCGCCCGGTGGATACCTCATAATTTGACTGAGGCTCAAAAACTCCATCGTGTGGATTGGTGTCGTAAAATGATTGAAAGATTTAACGGAGGTGACTCAAATGCTGTGTTCGACATACTAACAGGTGACGAAAGCTGGATTTACTGTTATGATCCTAAAACCAAAAGACAATCTGCTCAGTGGGTGTTTCCTTTCGAGGAGTTGCCAACTAAAGTGAAGAGAGATCGAAGTGCGGGAAAAAAAATGGTGGCCTCGTTCTTTGGAAGGATAGGTCATTTTGCAACAATTGTGTTAGAGGATCAAAAAACAGTTTCTGCAGAATGGTACACTACCAATTGTTTGCCACTTGTCTTGGAAAAAGTTCGAGAGAAACGACCTCGCAGTAGGATCCTCCTTCACCACGACAACGCCTCGTCGCACACCGCCAAGCGAACGATCGACTATTTGGCGACATCAAACGTTGAATTACTGGGTCACCCGCCGTATAGCCCCGACCTCGCGCCTTGTGATTTTTATTTATTTCCAAAAATTAAAGAAAAACTTAAAGGAAAGCGGTTTATGAATGCTGAAGAAGCGGTGGCTGCGTATCGCGATGCCATTGAAGAGACCCCTATGGACGAGTGGGCAAAGTGCTTTTCCCAGTGGTTCCATCGCATGCAGCGGTGTATTGACGTGAATGGACAATATTTTGAAAAGATATAATAAAACTAATAACTGGCTAATGTAATCAGTTTTTGATTTTCTAAGAACTTTCAGTTTGACCCTCGTATATAGGTCGATTATATTGCTAGTTTCGATTAATTATATCTGATCATTACGAGCCCATAAGATCAATAGAGTTTATAATATTTTTACCGTATCTCCTGTAGGTTCATATAACGGGCTTGTATCATTTTTAACGTGCTAATTTTTATTTTCCTGTGCTTGCTCTGTATTTAGGGCTCGCTCGTCCGTACGTCTGATTACACACCCAGCGAAGCGTTAAATCGGGTGGAATTGCATAATCGTTGATGTGACTGAATACGTGGCGAATAAACATACTGATACTATTTATAATTCATATAGAGTAACAAAAGAACTATCTTTTCCCGCGACTTTGCCTCCGGAAATAGGGCTGATGATATTTTTTTTGCGTAATCAATAGATTACGGCGATACCTGTACTGAGTTGAAATATCGCACGATTTTACTTACACCTGTAGCGAGTCCCCACTCCTAAACTTAATAACACAATCATCATAAGTAGGATAGAATTAACCTCTTGATATCTAGGAGTACAGTTTTCACTTAGCACGTTTGTTTTTTTTTTACGGCTAATTTACAAATACCCTTGTCCAGAGCAAAGTGTAACATGTGTATTGTGTGCCTTGAAGAAACCAGCATGTTTTGAGTTTATTCTTATAAAACAAAAATACACTTTCTCTTCTCAATATTACAGGAAAACGTAATAGTTTACATACTTGATCAGAAAACTAATAAAAAGTCACAGGGACGCTGCAAAGCGCTTTATAAGCATTTTTTATACGTTTGATGGTAGAAAAAGATTCTCTAGATATTAAAAAATCGCAGCGAGCTCACGATATTGAGAGGAAAAGTTTTTTATAATCACATAATACGCAATTTATATTCAAATAAATATTCCTTTTACATTTTCCAGGAACCAGAGTCTCGATTGACCTCTTTTTCTCGGTACACAAACTTAATACAAGCACGTTATTATTTTATACTCGAACCAAATTCCGAGGATAGGGTGTATGTAAACAAATCTCCCCGGATACTTACCCTAAAAAATATTTTTTTAGGATTCGGTACGGAAAGATATCGAGCGAGAAATTATACAATGCCGTTGTCTACTTTTTAAATGAATCTTTATACTAATAATCAAGCTGAAGAGTTTGTTCGTTTGAACGCGCTAATCTCTGGAATTACTGGTTAGAATTGAATAATTATTTTTGTGTTGCACATAGTCCATGTATTCTGTTGTCTCGTACAGTTTATGAAATACTAGCTGTTTTCCCGCGATTTCGCCCGCGTAATTTATATTTGTGCAAGAATTTTCAAAATCAGTCAAGTAGAGCCAATTCGATGCAAACAAATTTAGTATAGATTATGGAAAGAAATAATAAATGTAGACGCAGTATATAAATAACTAAATACACAAAATCTGTGGTGCCAAATCTGTTATGCACTTAGACTAGTTTCTAAATTTAGTTTTACTGTCCATAAATAAACTTCATATGTTATTATGATATTAGTATAGAGGAGTATATTTCTATAGTCTATTTTTTTTTGTTTAGTTGGCACAGCAAAATCTGCAAGTACAGTACAATAATGTTTCATTTAAATAGAAACATAAATAGAATTAAACAGGATGAATTTTAAAATTACAACATTTTAACTTCACGCCTATTTTATGAGCATGTTTTGTTTGAATTTTTTTTCTTTAGCTTAAAAGTTTCTGATTATGGATTGCGTACTCTGCAAGCGTTTGCGTAAACGTGAATTTGTATGGCATTCGGTGGAAAAGGCTAGTTGCATTACGAAGAATTTTAATATATCTAAATGTTTTAATTGAATTTATGTATTTATTTTATATTTACATACATAGGTCTCATATAATAAAACCGCTTTTGTTCCCTTTTATAAGCGAATTTAATTTTGATTTAATTATAGGTAGGTTACGGATCTTTCCGATCCGTGCTCACACGGCAATATGTAACAAATCAGTAGCGTTGCTAAATACAAAACAAAAACGAAAAGGCGTTCATTGAAATTATTATAAGACTTATTTAAAATCCTACTAACATCCTTTGTACTACAGTATTTAGTAATATTAACTGTGCGATATATTTCTCACCATATTATCTTGTTCGCTATGAGTTAACGATCGAGTTCGGTAAGATTGCGATCTCAGCCTGTCGAGATTGCAGCCCCTGATGGAGACTTTAATTGATTATATCTCAATAAATATGCTTTTTTTTTCTAGATATATCTTCTCAAGTGCAAGATCATCGTCACTCTAATTTTAAGATTACGGTAATCTTGTATTGGTACATCGCTAAAATGCAACACAAGCAAATAATTTTGACGCTCTAATAGAAAGTCAAATAGCATTTACATAGTTTTGCGTTTGGTTTGGTTTTTGTTATAAAAACAAGCACTGTTAATTTTTAATAGTAAACCCCAATAATCATTTTCAAAATGATAAGTAAAGACGTAGTCTTAACATTGTTTTAAATAAAAAAGGTTTTGAAATATAAGTTACATATTTTATACATACATATATCGTAGCTACAATACTAAAT